CAGCATTAGATCCTCAGTCTTTCTCAGCACGAGGCTCTTCTCCAGGGAGGCCTTCTTCCTTCTCATTAGGTGGCCAAAGTCTTTGAGTTTCCTCTTCAGGATCTGTCCTTCTAAAGAGCAGTCAGGGTTGACCTCCTCTAGGACCGACCGGTTGGATGGCCTTGCAGTCCAAGGGACTCAATGCAGGAGTCTTCTTCTCCAGCACCAGAGTTCAAAGGCCTCCATTCTTTGGCCCTCAGCCTTCCTTATGGTCCAACATTCACAGCCATCCATTGCAACAGGGAAAGCCTTGGAAGCAAGCTAGAAGTGATCAATTGTTCTCACTGCCAGGAAAATTCTCCTTAATTCTAGGTTGCTTCTCTCCTTGATAAGTTTCCATCTGTTGCTTCTTGTTCTGCCGTCAGATGCTTTGGAGAATAGGTTGACCCCCCCTCTTCTGTGGGGAGATGTTGGGACAGTGCTATGATGTCCTTCCTTTCATTAAACTAGACATACCCAATCCTTGCAACCATCCTTCCTGCATTTTAACCTCCAGTCCCTTATCTTTAGAGCTAGCTGGGATGGGTCTCTTCTAAGTTGAAGTCCACACATCATACCAAGGTCACGCTCCGCAGGCAATGAGGAGACCCAGAGAAGGGAACATGGTGTGTGTGTCCATGTTCACCCATGGGCAGCCAGACTTTTCAACAAGGGCAAGCTGATCACCCTGGTCTTTGTGGGCAAAATCTCAAGCTCACCTGGCATCCCTCCAAGCTTCATCCCCTTAACGGATGAGCAAAAAACCTGGTAAAACCCAGCAAGCGAAAACAGGGAAGACTCGGATCATTTTTAGTTTGACTGAAAGTGAAAATCACAGTCCATTTCCTTGTTTGGTGCAGGCAGGCTCATGTGACCAGGGTAATAAATTGATTGTCTCCTCTGTTGGCACCGACATTGGGCGGCTGTTGCTTGGGAGAGAGCGGCTGTGTTCGGCTACGGAGTTAGCAAAATAAATAAATAAATCTGAGAGGGAGGGGGGGGTGTCAGACATTGGATGAGTACGATTTGGAAAAGTCTGCCAGCTGAAAGATGTTCAGGTAGGTAGAAGGCCATCCTCTTCCTTGCAACACTTTATCTGAGCAGGGCGAGAAAGTTTGTTTTCCCGTCGAAGGAGATCGGTAAGAACGTTGGCTTTTAGCTTTGGATCTCTGGGATAACGCTGGGCATATTTTCATCCGCGGTTCATATCTAGCAAGGAAGGAAACGAGGAATTTCCTACAAGACCTGGATCTGACAGGAACGTCGTACAGCCAAGATGGATTAATTACTTTCTTCCTGATTTGAGTGTATTTGTTTTAGCAAAAATTAAATATGAGCCGGGTCTTAATTCTCAAAGGTGTGTGTCAGGTTTAAGAAACCGGAGGTGCAAAGGTGATCTATCGCCTTGATTCTTTGCATGTTTTCCAAGCAGCCTAATTCAAAGCCGATATCCTCCAATTTCACGTCAGACTTGACAGAAATGGGGTGAATAAGAAACTTTTCGCATCATTAAAATATTTTGAATGTCTCCAACTTCCTGTGAGCGTTCAACTTATTGCTTGCTTTAATTTTGGAAGCTGGAGTCACCATGAGTTGGAGTTGGGAGGCAGTATAAATTTCCTTAACAAATAAATAAAATAGTGCTTTATCTTCCTTGTATTGTGAGCAAACTCAGTGGTGTGATTAAAAGTACGGCAATATTTTTGCCTGCTGGATATTCAGTATTTCTTTGTAAGAAGTAAAGCGAGATTCCTTTGAGGGTACCCTGCGTTTGGTAAAGTGTATTTAGGAGTAGATTTATCCAAGGGGTGTTGGGAGATTGCACAATGCCTCAACGGACATTAGGTGTTGTTGTGGCTTCAAGATTGTACAAACTTTCGACTGAATGCCGCTGTTGCATTGTGCAAAGAAATGATCTTACAAGCATAAATAATCAGCACTTCAACTTCAGCTTCCTCCTTGACTTGCTGGTAATTGAGCAAAGAGAGTTAAACAATAGTTTATCTGCCATGCTCTGACTTAAAAAAAAAATCAGAGTGATCACAGATAGTTTGAGTTTATCATCCTACATCTCAACAGGATGGAGATACACGTTTGGCTGATGGCCTTTTGCGTCATTGTCGCGTCTGCACCCCAGTGGCGCAGGGACCCCAAGCTGGACAAATACTGGGAGTTATGGATGAAGAAATATGGCAAAGAATACCAAAATACGGTAAGAGCGCTCGGCAGTAGCTCCTGCAGTTAAAAAATAAAAGGAGTACACAATTCTTTTTACAAGCAAGGTCTTCTTGTCGGCTAATTGTGACTTCTGATTTAATCCTCAGAATCAGGAAGAGCCGCGCCGAATGACGTGGGAAAAGAACATACAATTTATCACACTGCACAATCTCGAATATTCACTGGGCCTGCATTCTTACGAACTTGGCATGAATAACTTAGGAGATATGGTTAGCTCTGATGATTTATTTAAGGGATGTTTAAATGGGCTTGGTAACTACGCGTATTAAGACTAAACGCCCCGCTTTGAAAAAAAAATGAGTGAAGATTAAAGAGTACAGAGGGTTGAATTTTTTTTTTAGGGAGCAAGGGGGTGTTGGAGTACGAGACCTCCAAGCATCCTCCCAACTCTTTTAGTTTGCTTTTTTTTTACTATTCTGTTATTCTGCCTTTCTACTATTCTGCCATTCTCTTATTCTGCTATTCTGTTATTCCTTCTTTTGGCTAAATGTGTTTCTGATCTTTCCATAGACCAGCAAAGAAGTGTCGTTGCTCCTGACCGGCTTGAAAATCCCATCCTGGTGGAACCGAAATTCCACGTCGCACAAATCCATCGTAGGCACCTGGATCCCTGAGTCCATAGACTGGAGGGACAAAGGATACGTCACGAGTGTTAAAGACCAGGTGAGAGGAGGACTTTCAAACATCCATCGGTCTGTCCGGGATACTTTTGGTGCAACTGATTCTGTCCATCTCTGTCTTTCAGTATTCATGCGGCGCTTGCTGGGCCTTCAGCGCGGTGGGGGCCCTGGAAGCTCAGTTAAAACGCAAGACCGGGAAACTGGTGTCGCTTAGCTCCCAGAATCTGGTCGATTGCTCCAATCTCTACGGGAACCACGGCTGTAACGGAGGTTACATGCCTGCTGCTTTCCAGTATATCATAGATAATAAAGGAATCAACTCCGAGGATTCCTATCCATATAAGGCCAAGGTTTGTATGGCTATTGTTACAGAAAATTGCTTGCAAACATGCTCTAAATCGGGGTGTCCAATCTTGACCAATTTTAACATATGTGGACTTCAATTCCTAGAATTCCCCAGCCAGCCATGCTGGGAATTCAGGGAGTTGAAGTCCACAGAATCTTAAAGTTTCCAAGGTTGGACAATCCTGGTTTAAATTCTGTCTCTCTTTGGTCTCCTTCCTTGATGGTTTGCAAATCGTGGCAGATGTTGTAATTAAAGCTGGCACATTTAATCATTTCCCTGACTTCCTCGGCGGAGGTTGCAATCCTACGCATAGCAGCATAAATAAGCCCTTGCTACTTGCTCCAAACTTAATTTATAGGCTTGTGCCCTAAGATCCCATTTGGGCTTCTGTGTCACCATCCAACTTTTAAGAAAAAGGAAAGGAATAATTCGGAGTGACTGCTCCATTTTAAAAGAGATGTTTTTTTGTCTCGTTCACGTCATATTTTTCTCAATCCTTATCACCGCTATAAAAATAGCATGCTTTTCAAAAACTGTTTATCCCTCATCACGCTTTTGCTGACCAAACTGAGGTGGAGAAATGCTTGTCGCGATTCCAGACCCATTTATTTTACTTTAATTAAAATCTCGTTTTTTTGCAAGACACCCAATGCAATACGCATTTATGTTTTCCAGTCACTGAGATTGGGTTTGGTCCCAAGCTATAAATTTTAGCACCTCCCAAAAGGTGTTGGCCTCACCTACAAACCTGAAGGAGGCTGGGGTTTTAAAAGCCAACGAAATGATAGTTGTTTAAGAAATAAGCCAGAGGGAAAAACAACTGGGGTTGAACGTGCACAGATATGTGGGTTTACTCGTTGAGGAAAACAAGCTTGAACTTTTACCTGCTTCCTGCAGGATGGGCTATGTCGCTATAATCCCGCTGCGAGGGCTGCTACCTGTTCGAAATATACCTTGCTTCCATCTGGAAACGAGACTTACCTGAAGGATGCTGTAGCCAACATTGGACCAGTGTCGGTGGCCATCAACGCAAACCAGCCAACATTCTTTCTCTATAAGCAAGGTAACATTCACACACACACAAACACGGAGAGGAAACGTGTCCGCATTTACGTTGATCTGTTAAATAAATAAGATTCGGTTTTGTGAGTTTATGATCCTGGGTTGCTGATAAACATTTACAAGTGATTCCAACTCTTTTTTTTTCCAAAATAGGAGTTTATAATGATGCCAAATGCACCAGTCAGCATTTGAACCATGCCGTCCTCGTGGTTGGATACGGAAAGGAGAATGGCATGGATTACTGGCTCGTGAAGAACAGGTATGCCAGCCCTTGGCCAGTTTCAGGGGTTAAACCAGGATTAACGACTGCGCATAAGTTATTTTAAGATGCTTTGGTCTTAAATATAAACGCAGCCTTCTTTTCTACAAACAAGCATCCCGCCCTAGGACTTAATTGAGGGACAGTTGAAGATTTAGTAGCTTCTGTCATTTTGCAAAGGTGGAGGAGGGAGATTATGCATGATCCATTTTTGTGGAAGGAAAAATGGATTATAAACGGACTGAAGTGGCGGATAATTTTGCAAATCCCTTGATTTATAAGCCATATTAAGAGCTTCCCAAGCAGAAAAAGAGACCCAAATTATTAAATATAATCCTCTCTTAGCATGTTGTGGGGATGCAGCCACCACTTGCCTCTTGATTATTTTTGCCCCTTGTCAATCAAAGCATCTAACTTTTCAGACGCCAAATAAATCCCATATAATTTAAAGAATATCAGTGGCATTCCCAACCCACCACGCTGCCTCCTCATTTAGACTCCTTACTTAAGAGAGCTCATTCTTAAAGCATATGCTCATTATTTCCCTCTTCTTATTCCAACAGCTGGGGAATCAATTTTGGCCATGAAGGCTATATTAAAATTGCCAGAAATCAAGGGAATCGCTGTGGCATCGCCAGTTACTGCTCGTATCCGATCATTTAGATTGATTGCCAAAACCCAGATCTTCCATCCGGCTCCACCTGGTAGATCTAAGGCAAGCAGCCCACACCAGGGTTTATCTGGGTTTAGTTTGGAATTTTCTAACGATCCCTGGGGTACTGCCAAGCTTAAATCAGTTAATCAGGTAATGTCTACCAATCTGCTTTGAACAAGCAAAGAGCGCAGGATAATTGACAGGGATTTCCATTTCGGGCCACCTGAAAAACGGGATGGCGTCCAGAATCTGCATTCAGGAGTGTAAAGCAAAATCTTCTTTAAAGTTTCGGCTATTTGCAAGACGGTTTCTCACCTGGAAAGAATCAAATGCATGCAAAGTTGAACTTGGGACTCATTTTAACACAAGGAAGAAAAGAACATTTTCACTGCCTGGAGCCACTGCATGGAATTACAACAGTATAAACATGGAATCTTAGCATTGGAAGGGACCTTGGAGATCATTTAGTCTAACCCGCTGTCCAAGGCAGGAGACCTTGCATTTATAAATGCAATAAATTCAATATTATCCCGGAGCAATCTTTTTTTTAAAAAAACCTCCAGCAATGGAGATTTTTCTTCTTCTTCTTGCAATGTATGCTGGATCTTTTCTGAACCTGGCTGAAATATAACTCGAAATGTATTTAACCTTGGCCTCTATTAAAGATTATTAAAGGCAATGCATGTTCAAGGAATCGTGGCTTAGTGTGATGTGATAACCCAGTTGCTGTGCTTCGTTGATTGCATGGTGGTTTAATGTTGGTGTGTTGTCCCTTTGACCAAATAAAAGAAGAAAAACAGATAGAGAATACTAGAAAAAAAAAAGCATCATTCTACCCTACCCCTGAAAAGTGATGGCGCATTAACCATTATCCACCACCATGAATAATGGGTATTGTAGTCGCAGCATTATTCTCCCCCCCCCGTCCTCCCTCCCTTGACCTGGGAAAAGGTGGGCGTTCAACAACCCATCCTTCTCCGTCCATTGAACATGCTGACATGGGATGGAGATGGGCTTTGTAGTCCCCATCCCATCCAGAAGGGAACAGCTGGCCAAAGTGACGCCTTCTGGTTTTTAAGGATGCTTTTAAAACCGTCCTTAAACAATTACATTTAAAAAGTCATGTATATGACACAGGAAACTATATGAGTTTAACTAATAAAGACAGACGTGTATTAAATATAAATTCTATTCTATTTCTATTTATTAAATTTACAGGCCGCCCAATCCCGGAGGACTCTAAATGCTGGCAATCTTTAAATAATAATAATAATAAATAATTTGAAAGAGATGTTTAAGCCACCACCAGATTCTCTATCTCTAATCTGTATATCATGTTTATATAAAAACGAGGAGATTCCAACTTAGAAGAAAATCCTCAATGGGGATACATAAATAATTATAAATAAGGCATGTTTAAGCCACCACCAGATTCTCTATCTCTAATCTGTATATCATGTTTATATAAAAACGAGGAGATTCCAATTTAGAAGAAAACCCTCAATGGGGATACATAAATAATTATAAATAAGGCATGTTTAAGCCACCACCAGATTCTCTATCTCTAATCTGTATATCATGTTTATATAAAAACGAGGAGATTCCAATTTAGAAGAAAACCC